CGTCTATTCGTCTATTCGTCTATTCGTCTATTCGGTCTATCGTCTATTCGTCTATTCGTCTATTCGTCTATTCGTCTATCGTCTATTCGTCTATCGTCTATCGTCTATTCGTCTATTCGTCTATTCGTCTATTCGTCTATTCGTCTATTTGTCTACCGTCTATTCGTCTATCGTCTATTCGTCTATCGTCTATTCGTCTATCGTCTATTCGTCTATCGTCTATTCGTCTATCATCTATTCGTCTATCGTCTATTCGTCTATCGTCTATTCGTCTATTTGTCTATCGTCTATTCGTCTATTCGTCTATTCGTCTATCGTCTATTCGTCTATTCGTCTATTCGTCTATTCGTCTATTCGTCTATTCGTCTATTGTCTATTCGTCTATCGTCTATTCGTCTATTCGTCTATTCGTCTATTCGTCTATTCGTCTATTCGTCTATTCGTCTATCGTCTATTCGTCTTTGTCAATTCGTCTATTCGTGGCAAATCTGGTGGGATTGGACCCGTTAGAGATTTACTCACGATTAAAAACTGATTATAATCAACTATCTCAAGTATTTTTTAATAAAATGATAAAAATCCCATGTATTTCTTTCAAAATTATCCTCAGATTAATAATTTTGAAGTGAGTTTATTGTCTCATAAATATTAATGTAATTTTTATTTGAGAATTTCTCTCTTTAAGAATTTGTTTTGAATTTCGTTGCAAACCTGGAGATTTTTTAAGCCGGTATTTCCGTGATCATTCAAATGTTTTTTAAAGCGTAATATTTTAGAAAGTTTCGATTGGTATTTGAGGCATTGCTCCAGTGATGCCAGATGAGATTAAGCGCTTGTCCCTAGATTGTAGCTTCTAAATTCCCTAAAATTTCCTAAACTACTTAAAAAATTAAAAAGATACTATTTCATAGGCCTATTTTGTTGAGGTAATAATAATATAAATACAACATAAAAATGTGTTAACTTCAAACAACAAACAATAAATAAATAATATAACAATAAATTAAAATAAATTTTAGTAAAGAAATAAAAAAATAAAATACAAGTCAATTAAAACAAATTCAAATAAACGTGTATATTTAGATACCTACTTAATTTTTATTTATACTTATAAATTATGGGATTTTATTAATTTTAAATATTCGTCTAAAACATTAAATGAACTGCAATAATTAGTAAACGCGAAAAACGCAAAAGGCTTTTAGTTATCTTGTTCTTTTTTTTGTCTTTACACAACTACAGAAACTCATATACAAATGCGCTACCTTGTCGAAGTTACAATATTCTTAATAAAAATTTTTGTAATTTTTGAAACTGTGCCAGCAGTGTGAAAAAAATTGAGATTTTCACTGAATATGTAAAAATGAATAGATTATTAAGAAAAATTGAAAAAAATTCCTTTTTCCCTTTTTGTTAGAAAAATTCCTAGAACTAGTGAAAAATTTCCTAATCTGGCATCATTGCATTGCTCTGAGATTTGTGTTATATTATGTTTGCAAGTGTGCACGAAATGACCCGAAGCGACTCTAAAAGGCCCGGAAAAACTCGAAATGTTCCAAAGTGATCCGAACCGACCCGAATCGAGGCAAAGTCCCAAAGCGACAATAATATTACCTTTGAACACTTTAAAAGACATTTTTATATTAAAAAAGCTTCCTTTTTAAGTGGATTTATGGATTTATTGTTTTGTAAATTATTATCATATTTTTTTTTAATTCTAAGCCAATAAAAGTTGAGGTACAATAATATTATTCAATTTAGTTAACGTTTAATTTTATTCCAAACTAATTTTGCTAACAATATTTTTTTTATTAACAAATACTCATATTTTAACACTTATGCTCTGAGCTATACACACAGAAAACATAAATAAGAAAAACATGATTAATAAAAAAAAACATAAAAAGAAAAACATTAATTTTTTCTTTACTTTGAAAAGCTCAAAAACCAAACGCAACTCAGTGTATAAATTAGTGTAGAGTCTTTTATACGTATGTCTAACACAAAGGCTACACAGGAATATATTTAGAATCCCACCAGTTGCAAATTTTGATTTTATTATTCAATAATACTGACTATTTCCCTCATAAAATTTAAGCCAAACATATCTTTCAATCTCTGAGATTCATCCAATCAGATTCAAATTAATTCATGTGCTAAATTACCGCAAATCTGATTGGATGAATTTTAGAAATTTGGGAGATTTGATTGACATATTTTTTTTGTGAAATATTTTTTTTTATTCCTCATAATGAAAATATTGTTTTTGTAAATGCACTTGGGATATTACTATTGATAACACAGGTCAACAAGGGTTTGGTAACATTGATGACAATAGTAGTTTTTTACTTCCTAAATAACAAAATGCCTTTAGTTTTTTGATAACACGTACCGTTTATTTGTTTCATTTTTTATCAATAATTTAATTAATAAAGACATCATGAAAGAACGCTATCAAGGCCGCTGGAACACTTCTATGATGGGTGATTACTGTTAGCTTTTTCAAAACGCGACAGTAACGTACCTAACAAAAGAAAATGTTGAGATTTCACTCTTTTATTGTAATATATGACTTTTTAATGATTCTAAAATTTGTTTTTTAAAATATTGTATGCTCATAATAAAATAAATTAAATAGTTAAATTATTTTCAATACTCTTTTGCTTTAACATGGGTGTCAGAACGAAGTTGGTAACATACGAATAATACGTGTTGAAACATTTTTGTGAAAATTTTCGAAATCAGAGTGAAAAAACATAAACGTGGAAGGTAGTTTAATCAACGTTACTGAAAATTTGTTCAAATTTGTTGACCAGTGGAATTTTTCTCTCTAAGAATTTGTTTTAAATTTCGTTGCAAACCTGGAGATTTTTTAAGCCGGTATTTCCGTGATCATTCAAATGTTTTTTTTAAAGCGTGATATTTTAGAAAGTTTCGATTGGTATTTTTTATATTTGAGCATTGCTCTGAGATTTGTGTTGTATTTAGTTGCAAGTGTGTACGGAATGACCCGAAGCGACACGAAGTGACTCTAAAAGGCCCGAAACAACTCGAAATGGTCCAAAGTAATCCGAACCGACCCGAAACGATACGAATCGAGACGAAGTCCCAAAGCGACAAAATATTTATTACCTTTGAAGACTTTAAAAGACATTTTTATATTAAATTATATTAATTATATTATAAATTATTATCGTATTTTTTTTTAATTTTAAGCCAATAAAAATTGAGATACAAATACTATTGAATTTAGTTAACGTTTAATTTAAGTTAACTTTGCTAACAGTATTTTTTTTATAACCATATACACTTATGCTCTGAGCTCTACACACGAAAACATAAACAAAAAAAACTTGATAAATAAAAAAACATAAAAAGAAAAACATTCGTTTTTTCTTTACTTTGAAAATGTCCAAAAACAAAACGCAACCCAGTGTATAAGTTAGTGTAGACTCGTATTTCTAACATAAATGCTACACAGGAATATATTTAGAAGCCCACCAGTTGCAAATTTTGATTTTATTATTCAATAATACTGACTATTCCCCTCATAAAATTTAAGCCAATCAAATCTTTCGAATCTCTGAGATTCATACAATCAGTTTCAAATTAATTAATTAGTTCGTGTGCTAATGAATTTTAGAAGTTTAAAAGATTTGATTGATATATTTTTTTTCTGAAATATTATGAAAAACGCCCCAAGCCATAACTCCATTATTTTTAAAGTTATGACAATACTTCTTAAAACAAAGTTGAACATTTTTTGTCATCTATCGTTTGGGATAGATGCTAAATTAATGCTGTTTTCTGTTTCACCGGAAATCACATCAACTTAATTTTTTTTAATGGAACATCCTGTATATTTTAGCACTTTTGGCTTCTTTGATTAATTGTCTTTTAACAAGTTTTAGTAGCATATGCCTAAAACCAACCGTTCGTGAGATATGAATCAATTCAAAATTTATTAAAGTAGGCAGTGGGAAACAATAATATTAAGTAATGATGACAAATATTATTACTTTGCATTTTCTCTTATTATTTTTTGGTGTTCTGGTGATAATGTGTTAACAGACATAATTCAAGAATATTTTGAAAGCAATAAAAATAGTTGGAGACCACAACGCCTTTACACTGGGCGGTTTTCAATAAGAGAAGTTCCAATTCGTCGACCTGAAAAAAATTGAGGATGTTTGGGGTTTTTAGAAAACCCAAATTAGAACAGTTGCGTGCGATAAGCCAACGTTACTTGCAATTTCTTCAATTCATGTTCTTGCATTTTCTTCAATTCTGTATCTCTTTGAAATTGGAGATGTTTTAATTTGGGTTTTCTAAAAGCCCAAAACATCCTCAAATTTTCTTTAAGTCGCTTAAATTTTCGACGATTTGGAACGTCTCTCATCAGAAATCACCCAGTGTAAAAGCGTAGTGCACTCCCACAATTTTTATTTTATTCAAAATAGGTCTGTTAACACATTATCATCCATGATTAACATTAAAAAGTATAAAAACAGTAAGAGAAAATGCAAAGGAATAATATTTGTCAACATTACTTGATATTATTGTTTTCCACTGCCTACTTTAATAAATACATTATTTGGTGAATATCTCACGAACGGTTAGTTTTAGGCAAATGGTACTAAAACTTGATAAAAGACAATTAAACAAAGAATCCAAAAGTGGTAAAATATACAGGACGTTCCATTAAAAAAAATAAAGTTGATGTGATTTCCGGTGAAACAGAAAACAGCATTAATTTAGCATCTATCCTAAGCGATAGATGACAAAAAATGTTCAACTTTGTTCTAAGAAGTATTGTCATAACTTTAAAAATAATGGAGTTATGGCTTAGAGCGTTTTTCATAATACAGCCTGTATATTTTTTTAATTCCTCAAAATATTTTTTTTTTTTGTAAATGCACTCGAGATATTACTATTGATAATTATATAAGTGTCGTCTCATCTTGCTGCTCAAACACCATCAGCAAGGAATGTTGCGAGGAAGACCGTTCCGTGTGACTTAACAAAGCGGTTCTTTCCCCATTTTCGTTCAAGGAACAGTCGGGTGAACTGTTGTCACATTGCAAATTTGTCGTTGTTGCGCTGCTTGTGGAAGGCAAATCATGAATATCTGGGGACGCCAGTGGTGGAAACGACTTGGGACTTGACTCCAAATTCTCCCTAAGATGCATAACTGGATAAGATTCTCTATACCCCGAAGTGCTTGAAGTCTGCGAAATGGCACTATCTTCGTCCCAAGAACTCTCAGTTGGTTTACCACGCATGGAAATTCTCAACCGGTGTTGATCGGAGATTTGTTGTTGAGGCTGTTGGTTATTGTTATTTGGTGGTTCTTCTTTTGGTTCAGTTGGTTGTGGTGTTGGAGAATAAGGTTGAGGAGGAGTCTCCTCAGATTGTAGCTTGCTGTGTGAGATCTGGAAGTGGATGTTTAATTACAAAACTTTACCTTTTGGTCAAATTATACTTCGACTCGACTATTTTTCCGGCTTTTCCTTAATCTGAAAGTTTTCCGGCTTTGTGGTTTAATGCGTTGAAGTCGTGATTTACTTGGGTGATTTTCACCAGAACTGTCATCAGCTGGACTTCCAGGACTCAACGGTGTGGTTGAAGTTTCCCCTAGGTTTGGTTTAGAATCAGAAATAAGAAATACACACTGAAAATTAGATACCTGAAGAATGTCTAAACTCTACAGAAGACACAAAACGAAGTTTATGAGCCTTATGGAACATTAGGGATTCAGATTTAGGCATTTGGACACCATGGTCGTCACTCACAGATGACCTTTGAGATGAACGATCTGAAACATGCAAACATCGAACACCCACTAGAAGAAAGGGACAAGAAAAGGGTAAACATGCTGTCAGTGTCTTAAAAACTGTTTTAATTTACCAATTAGGGCATTACAAGGAGTGGAAGTACCATTAGCATTGGCATCCTGTCCATCGCTTGCTGCCTCTTTGGGGGTTGACACATGACTAGTGCTAGTGGACGATTCTGGAACTAAGAAAAAAATAACTGTTAATTTCCTATTACACAAGGCGACCGAAAAATAGTCATGTCGTGACAACTTGACAATTTTATATCATTTTATTCGTCTCAGTGAGACAAATCAAATGCACTAAAAAAAATTTTTTTTAACTAATTTTTTTTTTTCTAATTTAAATGAATTTAAAATACTTTAACTTTAAAAAAATCATTACGCAATAACTATTAGGCCGATTTCCTTCAAATAAAGGCCATTCTAAAGGGATGGCTTTGCTTTTTAGGATGATATAAAATTTGAAACTGAATATTGGCAAACTTTTCTTCGAACAGTGTTCGAAGAAGTTCGAAATAAATCGAAATCTACGAAAAACCCTACGAGTATTTTTTTTTATTATTACCATCGTGTAATCCAAATTTTCAAAAGAATATACCAAGTAGTTTTCAACATATGATATTTTGAAGTAAAGGTTTGCTAATCAAGCATTGCTCCATATAGGAGAAATGCATGTTAATCTTACTTAAAATTGCATTTTTATAAAAGTATTTGTTTTAAGACTCTTCTTTTGCTTAAAAATGGTCAATTGCACCTTCTTTGTTCTAATTATAATAAACAAAAACTGTTTGTTTACTTAAAACAAACAAAGAGTACCTGCGTAATAATTAAAGCAAATAAAGAGTTTTTTTGTTGTAAAAATGACCACTGATCATTGAGCAAAGAGGATCTAGAAGTTTAAGGCACGAGCCTTAAATATAAGGGCAAATCTTTTTCAAATCAAATCACTTTCCATTCAGATTTCGACTTGTTCATTTTGTTCTAGTTTTCTGAACTTTTTTTGAAAATGTTCTGAGCAAATGCTTTCTCATCACTTTCTAGTGATGTTAAATACAATAATTCATTTATTTTGTTGGTACATTCTACGATTAGCTTCAGTTAGCTTGTAGATAGTAGTTGTGGTGATAACAGTTGCACACGAAGCAGCTGACTTATTGCATTCAACATCAGTAGAAACTGATGAGAAAGCATTTGCTGAGAACATTTTCAAAAAAAAATTCAGAAAGCTAGAACAAAGTGAACAAGTTGGAATCTGAATGGAAAGTGATTTAATTTGAAAAAGATTTGTTATTATATTTAAAGCTACTGCTCTAAACTGCTAGATCCTTTTTGCTCAATGATCAGTAATCATTTTTAGAATAAAAAAACTCTTTATTTACTTTAATTAGTACGCAGGTACTATTTATTTGTTTTAAGTAAACAAACAGTTTTTGTTTATTCTAATTAGGACAAAGAAGGTGCAATTGACCATTTTTAAACAAAAGAAGAGTCTTAAAACAAATACTTTTATAAAATTGCAATTTTAAGTAAGATTAACATGCATTTCTCCTATATGAAGCAATGCTTGATTAGCAAACCTTAACTTCAAAAAATCATATCTTGAAAACTACTCGGTATATTCTTTTAAAAATTTGGATTACAACTAATAAAGAGATGCTCTACACGATGGTAATGATGAAAAAAAATTACAAGTAGGGTTTTTCTTAGATTATTTCGATTTACTTCGAATTTCTTCGAACCCTGTTCGAAGAAAAATTTGCTAATATTCAATTTCAAATTTTATATCATCCTAAAAGCCATCCCTTTAGAATGGTCTTTATTTGATGTAATGATTTTTTAAAGTTAAAGTATTTTAAATTAATTTAAATTTGAAAAAAATTATTTAGTTCAAAGTGTAATTTTTTTTAGTGCATTTGATTTGTCTCACTGAGACGAACAAAATGATATAAAATTTGTCAAGTTGTCACGACATGACTTTTTTTTGTCGCCTTGTGTTAGCAAAATCAACCTTTTGCTGGAAGTGTGGTATGTGGATGATCTGTGGAGCCTTTAGATCCATGATCTCCCGTAAATAACCCTATTAGGGAATGTCTCTGGTGGCGTCCATGGTTCGTTTCACTGGTCATTTGAACAGTTGGTTGACTTACTTCTTGCTTCTTTGGATCACTATTTTCTGAAGCTAAACACAAATAATTTTTTTATTATTAGATTAGAAAAAGTACCATCTTCTAGTTCTTCCTTAAGTTCTTTCATTTCGTGTGCAAGTTCCATAAGTAGCGCTCCTCGACTTTTAGGAAACGGAAGTCCAATACCCCGAATTTTGTCCCTAATCCTCGAGTGGATTGTTCGCTCAAAGTCGGAGATTGGGGGTTGTGCCAACTGTAAGAAACTCGATTGGTTTTTGGCCTTCCAAACAAAAAACTACACCTTTTGGAAAATAAACGGTTGCATGAGAATAAATAACGGTGTTCGATGAGTGACAACAAAGTCTAAAAAGTCCCACAGAAACGTTGCTGCTTCGTTCCTTTTCCCCAACTCTCTCATGGTGCGAGCAATTCGCGTCCAAACCGTTATTAGCTCCCCTTCGAAACAAATCATCATGATTTTTAACGCTAAAAGCAATAATCAAGAATTGAAACCACACACTTGAGGTAATTACCGAGAAAAGAGACTTGGTACAAAGAAGTGTTAATTTTGGATGATGTTTTGGTGTCCCTCGTGCCTGTAAAAGTCAAACTACCAGTTCGAATTTCCGAAGTTGATTTTAAATTTGGACCTGAGGATGCCACTGATTTTGAACTGGGAGGACTCATTGCGTGTAATACTAGAGTTATGGCAAAACTAACATCACTTTGTTTCATAGCAGAAACATCTGGAATTTTTCCGATAAGTAACAATTTTTTCAATCATTTTCACGTACCCTTTCGACCACTACCAACACGCAAACACAACGGCATTATAAGATTCATTATCATGCTTTCTGTTTTGTCTTGAGTGGCGAAAGTGGAACTTCCGCCACAAACTTGCTCAAGAGAAAAGTTATCCTAAAAAAAATTATCATTTTGTGCCTCACTATTACACAAGGCGACAAAAAAAAGTCATGTCGTGACAACTTGACAAATTTTATATCATTTTGCTCGTCTCAGTGATACAAATTAAATGCATTAAATTTTTTTTTAAAAAGTCCACACACTTTGAACAAAATAATTTTTTTCTAATTTAAATAAATTTAAAATACTTTAACTTTAAAAAATCATTACTCAATAACTATTACGCCGATTTCCTTCAAATAAAGACCATTCTAAAGGGATGGCTTTGCCCTTTAAGATGATATAAAATTTGAAATTGAATATTGGCAAACTTTTCTTTGAACAGTGTTCGAAGAAGTTCGAAGTAAATCAAAGTCATCTAAGAAAAACCCTACAAGTAATTGTTTTTTCATTATTACCATCGTGTAGAGCATCTCTTTATTAGTTGTAATCCAAATTTTTAAAATAATATACCGAGTAGTTTTTAAGATATGATTTTTTGAAGTTAAGGTTTGCTATTCATGTATTGCACCATATAGGAGAAATGCATGTTAATCTTACTTAAAATTGCATTTTTATAAAAGTATTTGTTTTAAGACTTTTCTTTTGCTTAAAAATGGTCAATTGAACCTTCTTTGTTCTAATTAGAATAAACAAAAACTGTTTATTTACTTAAAACAAACAAAGAGTACCTGCGAACTAATTAAAGCAAATAAAGAGTTTTTTTGTTCTCAAAATGATCACTGATGATTGAGCAAAAAGGATTTAGAAGTTTAAAGCACTAGCTTTATATATAAGAACAAATCCTTTTCAAATTAAATCACTTTCCATTCAGATTCCAACTTGTTCACTTTGTTCTAGCTTTCTGAACTTTTTTTTGAAAATGTTCTCAGCAAATGCTTTCCCATCACTTTCTACTGATGTTGAATGTAATAAGTCAGTTGCTTCGTGTGCAACTGTTATCACAACATCTACTACCTACAAGCTAACTGAAGCTAATCGTAGAATATACCAAGAAAATAAATCAGGTGACTTATTGCATTTAACATCACTCGAAAGTAATGAGAAAGCATTTGCTTAGAACATTTTCAAAAAAAGTTCAGAAAACTAGAACAAAGTGAACAAGTCGAAATCTGAATGGAAAGTGATTTGATTTGAAAAAGGTTTGCTCTTATATTTAAGGCTCGTGTCTTAAACTTCTAGATCCTCTTTGATCAATGATCAGTGGTCATTTTTATAACAAAAAAACTCTTTATTTGCTTTAATTAGTACGCAGATACCATTTATTTGTTTTAAGTAAACAAACAGTTTTTGTTTATTCTAATTAGAACAAAGAAGGTGCAATTGACCATTTTTAAGCAAAAGAAGAGTCTTAAAACAAATACTTTTATAAAAATGCAATTTTAAGTAAGATTAATATGCATTTCTCCTATATGGCGCAATACCTGAATAGCAAACCTTAACTTCAAAAAATCATATTTTGAAAACTACTCGGTATATTATTTTCAAAATTTGGATTCTTACTAATAAAAAGATGCTCTACACGATGGTGACAAAGAAAAAAATTACTCGTAGGGTTTTTCTTAGATTACTTCGATTTACTTCGGACTTCTTCGAACACTGTTCGAAGAAAAGTTTGAAAATATTCAATTTCAAATTTTATATCATCCTAAAGGGCAAAGCCATCCCTTTAGAATGGCCTTTATTTGAAGAAAATCGGCCTAATAGTTATTGAGTAATAATTTTTTAAAGTCAAAGTATTTTAAATTCATTAAAATTAGAAAAAAATATTTTGTTCAAAATTAAAAAATTTTTTTAGTGCAATTGATTTGTCTCACTGAGACGAACAAAATGATATAAAATTTGTCAAGTTGTCACGACATGATTTTTTTTTGTCGCCTTGAGTTATCACAACTTACGGTGGTACTTTGAATTTGGAGAGCTATCAATCGCACCACCATTGAACAGAAATGGGGTGGGGGTGCTTGACTCATCAGAGCTGCAGTGGCTGAGGATACACCTTCATTGGGGTAACAATCAGTGACTATCAAAAACTAAGAGAAAATTAACACCCCAAAAATCTTTTCTAATACCTGACACGTGTTAACCAGTGCTTTAATATGTTGCCAGTGCATGATATAAGGGTACTTGACCATGGTGTCGTAAATTCCCTTCAAAAGACCTGCAGCTGCATCCCAATCGGTGTTCCTCTAAAGAGAAATTTATTTCTAGTTTCAATTTTCTCAAATTTTTACCCGAATTGATGGTTTTTTTGATATTTTCTGGAAAACCTTGTCTAGTCTTCGGAGAATTGTCACTAGTGCTGGTCTCATGGCATCATTTGCCCATTCTGTTGACGGTAGAATGTAACTCATGTAGTGCTGAAGACCTCTACAACCCATGGATTCAGGATCATATGGGGAAACTTTCAATAAAGTGTGAGCAATATCAGCAAGTCGCTGGAAACAACAATCAGGTTACAAAATTACAAAAGAAAAATTTACAATGTGCGATCTTATATCAAGAAGTTCGATGCTTTTTCCTTCTTGGTTATTTCTCTTGTTTAGTTCAATTAACCTTGCAGTTGCCCTACACATAAACTCTCCCACAAGTGAAAGAAGAACATCTCGTGGTCTTCTATATTCCGCTCTAAGAACCTCCGAGTCTTCCACATCATGTTCATACATACTTTTAGCTCTCGAATGCTCACTCATAAATTTCGAATGTGATTCGTCCTCGAAATCAAACCCTGGAGAGTAAGGACCTCGACTGTAGTTTCTTTGACTGGAACCCTTGTGTTCTGGACTTGACCGATAAGGTCCATTGTAACTCCTGGAAAATTCTATGGTGAAAATGTTCCAGAAACTGTGACTCTTACTTTGTCAATGCTTCACAATTGTTGACTAAAGTCTTGATAGAAACAGCAAGTTGATTGATTATCTCTTTCTCGGTCTTTCCTTCTTTGTTGTATGACGGTAGTTGAATATGTTGTACATAACACGGCAAAATAGCTTCCAAAATTATCTTTAAAAACGTGGATACAATCTAAAATCGTAAATTTTAGACTTACCAGCATTTGGTATCCTCTCACACTTTCAGATGAGTAAGAAACCACCATCACACATAACGATATACAGTCTAGAATCGTCACCATTTCATTTTCGTCATGATAACAGAAATCGATTGCTTTTAAAGGCTTATCTTCTTTGACTAATTCAGCGATGTTTAGAGGATCTGGTGATGGTGTTTCTAAACTTAGCAAAAGATTGAAAAGACAGCTTGACTGTATCTAGAATATAGAGTTAAGTTTAGTTTTTTGTTTGTTCAAAATCTACTTTATGTGCGTCTCCGAAAGTTCCCTCTTCGTCAGTATCGAGCATTGCAGAAACGGAACCAAACATTTGCAAAATAAAAGGCTTCCGATTCATTAAATAAAACTGCTTTACCGCATATTCAACTGTGGTAGTCACCAATTTATTTGTTTGGTGGTTAGAGTAGATTTTCAACAATGTTGGCATAATCAGTAAATAACTGAAAATTACAACATCATTCATTTCTAAGTATTTTTTTGCAAATTTACCCATTAGTTGAGAAAATATTTTTAAAGTGAAACGCCGCATTGATGTAAGTTGCCATTACATATCGCAAAATGCACGCATCTTCCGAATGTAGTATCACAGAACCGTTTAAAACATTGAGGAAGAGGTGAATATCACCAGAATAGGCAAAATTCCCAGCCATTGCCTCAAACATCCTGGCAATAAGTCGCACCCACATAAACTTGTGGAGGACATCTAACCCTAAAAGCTCCTTCCCGAGTGTTCCTCCCTTGTAGAGGTCCAAATCAGACTCGAGAGCTTTTCGAGGAAATGACGGAAGTTTCATTAACTCCTCGTGAAGAAACACAACTCTTTGAACCACCATATCCACGTTTTTCAAGATGGCCCAAGTGAGAAGAACTTTACCGATTTCAACAAATTTGTGCAAAAGCTCTTGTTTTTGCAAAGCGTTAAAAGCATCCTCAGGCTTCATGTGGATTAATTCTAGCTGTGGGTACTGCGATCGTTTAAAAAAGTAATAATCACGAACGTAGGAAGATGGATTTCGTATTTGGTCTACAAAAATTGATCAAAATTTCTGAAAATTTGTGTTTGGGTTACAAAATACGTGTTTTGTAGTCCACTAAAAAGAATTCTTTATGTCGATTATCATCAATTCCAAAAAAGTCCAAAGCTTCTCTTAGAATTTGACAAAATTGTGTATCTTCTTGAATCGGGAATTGGGAGGGAATTCCACCCGCATCTGGATCTTGAGGCCCATGAACAATAATTTTCTTAGCAGATGGAACATTAGCTGTGAGTAAAATAGAAGCATCACATTGTTCCTTTCTCAGGATTTGCTTCAAATCTTTGAACATGATTCCTTGAACACTATGAACAACCATCCATAAGAGTGATAAAGCTGCTCCTATTAACATTTGACCATCTTCGTGAGGACTCCTCACATAAAACATCACATATCCAATGATGTAATTGTATAATGCAAAAGCTGCCTGTTGTGGCAATTTTGGAATAAATCTAATGACATGCCGTAAAATTTTAAACATTTGTTCTTGTTTCTCTCGTGTTAGACGTTCTAGTATATATCTTAGAAATAAAGCACTGTCTTCGACTAAACAACACCAAATGACCTAGAAATCACTCATGAAATGTTGAAACCTAACTCACTGAAAAAATACTTGGTAAGCAACTTCATAAACTGCATTACCGTCTGCAGAAACAGCCGCGTCATCAAGTAAAGTGATTATTTGAACAACTGCTGAACATAAACAAGAAGGGAAAAGAGAATGAGCTGAATGTAGATGATGGACTGTGTTTCGTGTTTGTCCTTCAGCTTGCTCATCATCAGCTAAGACAAAACATTCTCAACATTGAAAAAATCAAAACACCACAAACCTTCATCGTGTTCTTCACTCGTGTGATAAAGACTTGGTTCATGTGCAGCTTGAATCGTGATGGGAATTGTCGTTATCAAAAAATTCTCCCTCTCTTCTCGCTTTTTATCATCTTGTGCTTGCAAGGCCATTTTTATAAGTTCAGTTTGTTGTTTTTTGCGCGTTTTTGTAGCAGTCACCAAAGATCTCTGCAAAAATTTTGCATTAACAAGTCCATTCTTTTCATACAACATACATGTCGTTCTTGATTGATGGTAACTTCTTCAACTTTGGTTTTCACTAGTAGTTCCCAAGGGGAATCGACAACATCCAATGATTCAATTCCAATTTTTGGCGATGGGAGAGTAAACTCGATTCCTGGGGGTGGTACTTTGAATAAAATGTGGGCATTTTCCTCCATTCTTGGCCACACTTGGTATCTCATTTTCCACAAAACTTGGAACCTCAGAATTGCATTGATTCGAACTGCTGCTTCTGGATGAGAGAGGCCATGTTGCATAATTTCGGCCACTGGTTGAGGGGCTTTTACCGCTGCTAAAATAAATAAAGAAGCAGCACATGCTGTTACTTCTTGGTTGGTTTCAAGCAAAAGTTCCCAAGCCACTGGAATTATCTCAATGAAATGTTCCTCAGAAAGAATTACTGCTCCTTTGAGTAGAACAGCAAGAGGACTGTGGAAAGCATCTTTGACTTGTGTTTTGATGTACTTCAAGATTGGAGGGGGTTCTGAAGGTTTTTCATCATTGTTACTCTTCGAGGAGTCTTGTCCAGTTTCAGAATCTGCGATATCTCTGGATGAATCCTTCGAGGCTAATTTACTCAACTGTGATCCTTCTAAATTTTTCTCAATCCTGAAAATTCCATTTTGATTAAGGGTTTCGTTCCAATTGTGTTAAATACTTGTCTTTTTTGCCCACACTGTCTTTTCTCCGAATGGGAGACACTTGAGAGCTAGTTTGATCGGACACTTTCCGATTATGACTTTTGTCTTTTTTCCCTTTTTTCTTGCCACCAAAATCCATGTTGAGTTTATCATCTAAAACCCCAAATTCTTCTCCGTAGACTTTCCTGACTGCTTTCACAAGCCGACTACAAGCTCTCATGACACGTCGATAGCAAAATGGATGGCAAAAATTTTGGTGCGTGCAAAAATAATAAAACGAATTTGAAACTTGGACCATAATCTAATGGAAAACAAATAAAAAAATTGAAACTGGGATTGGGACTTGCCTTCATCCAAGGCATATTTTTCGTGGTGTCATCAGTATCGTTACTGTCACTTGGACTTTCTGGGGGTTGATCATCGCTAAGCACCCCTGGAGACTCTTCCCCGCTTGCCTCCCCTGGCATTCCTGGTTCAGAAGTATCACTCCTGTCAGATAAGGAACTAACTTTTCTTTTGGATTGAATTGAATCAGTCCTTTTCACCGTTTCTGGAATCCTCCCTAGAAAAAAAAACTTATTTGGTCCAACACCAAATTTTTGTCTCACATTCAATTTCCATATCTTTCCCTTCTTTGGTACCACGTCTCAGTTTCAAACTCCTTCTTTTGAAGGAACCTCCAGTTGGGGCTGCAGTGCCTCTTCGAAGTAAGTAAGGACGTGGAGGTTGGCCACCAATACGCTTACCCTCTTCACCCTGCATCATTGCCTATTGGCATTTTACAAAAACGTGTTTTTCTACTTGTGTCTAATTGTGATGTTTTTGTGTGTATTGTTATTAAAAGTGAGATTTTACCTGCATTGTAACAGTTGTGTTACTGCTTCCTTCAGATTCGTTGTCAGGTTCGTGTAGTACGAAACTGATTTTACGCTCAGCTTGACCTAAGCAAGAAAAAATGGAACTAAGAGACAGGGACACCTTTGGGCTACTAAAAATAATGCGCCCCTCATAAGAAAAAGCGGGGATAGGGTAAGCTTTTACAAAAATTAAAGAGTCAATATACATGGTGTCCCAGCGAATTGGTGAAGTTATCATGTTAGAAAAAAAATTATATGACATTGATACTAATCTAGTGCATCGCCTGAAATTATTTACAAACCAAATAAGTTACAATACAATAGTTTAAACAGAACACAATATTTTTCGTTTTTGTATCTAATAGATTCTTAAATTGTCTATTTAGAAAGCTAGAAAAAAATTTTTTAAACTGAGACAGAAAATTTTTTTTCCACCGGAAAGAAGAAAGTAAAAATTTTAAGGTATCTACAACAGTTTTTCATTGCATTTGTAATGATAAAAAATTTTGTTAAGACCTAAATCGTTTAAACAGAACACCCTATTTTTCGTTTTTGTATCTAATAGATTCTTAAATTGTCTATTTAAAAAGCTAGAACATTTTTTTTTAAACTGGGACAAAAAAAATTTTTTTCTACCGCAAGGAAGAAAGTACAAATTTTAAGGTATCTACAAAAGTTTTTTATTGCATTTGTAATGATGAAAAATTTTGTTAAAATCTAAATAGTTTAAACAGAACACCCTATTTTTCGTTTTTCTATCTAATAGATTCTTAAATTGTCGATTTAAAAAGCTAGAACATTTTTTTAAAAACTGAGACAGAAATTTTTTTTCCACCGGAAAGAAGAAAGTAAAAATTTTAAGGTATCTACAACAGTTTTTCATTGCATTTGTAATGATGAAAAATTTTGTTAAGACCTAAATAGTTTAAACAGAACACCCTATTTTTCGTTTTTGTATCTAATAGATTCTTAAATTGTCTATTTAAAAAGCTAGAACATTTTTTTTAACTGGGACAGAAAAAAAATTTTTCTACCGCAAGGAAGAAAGTAAAAATTTTAAGGGAATCACAAATAGTTTTTTATTGCATTTATAATGACGAAAAATGAAGAATTTTGTTAAAACTGTTTAAAATAGTTTAAACAGAACACCCTATTTTTCGTTTTTGTATCTAATAGATTCTTAAATTGTCTATTTAAAAAGCTAAAACATTTTTTTTTAACTGGAACAGGAAAAAAATTTTTTACCGCAAGGAAGAAAGTAACAATTTGAAGGTATCTACAACAATTTTTTATTGCATTTGTAATAATGAAAATTGTCTATTTAAAAAGCTAGAACATTTTTTTTAAACTGGGACAGAAAAAAAAATTTTCTACTGCAAGGAAGAAAGTAAAAATTTTAAGGTATCTACAAAAGTTTTTTATTGCATATGTAATGATGTAAAATTTTGTTAAAACCTAAATAGTTTAAACAGAACACCCTATTTTTCGTTTTTGTATCTAATAGATTCTTAAATTGTCTATTTAAAAAGCTAAAACATTTTTTTTTAACTGGAACAGGAAAAAAATTTTTTACCGCAAGGAAGAAAGTAACAATTTGAAGGTATCTACAACAATTTTTTATTGCATTTGTAATAATGAAAATTGTCTATTTAAAAAGCTAGAACATTTTTTTTAAACTGGGACAGAAAAAAAAATTTTCTACTGCAAGGAAGAAAGTAAAAATTTTAAGGTATCTACAAAAGTTTTTTATTGCATTTGTAATGATGAAAAATTTTGTTAAAATCTAAATAATTTAAACAGAACCCCCTAATTTTGGTTTTTGTATCTAATAGATTCTTAAATTGTCTATTTAAAAAGCTAGAACATTTTTTTTAAACTGGGACAGAAAAAAAAATTTCTACAGCAACGAAGAAAGTAAAAATTTTAAGGTATCTACAAAAGTTTTTTATTGCATATGTAATGATGAAAAATTTTGTTAAAACCTAAATAGTTTAAACAGAACACCCTATTTTTCGTTTTTGTATCTAATAGATTCTTAAATAGTCTATTTAAAAGCTAAAACATTTTTTTTTAACTGGAACAGGAAAAATTTTTTCTACCGCAAGGAAGAAAGTAACAATTTGAAGGTATCTACAACAATTTTTTATTGCATTTGTAATAATGAAAATTGTTTATTTAAAAAGCTAGAACATTTTTTTTTAAACTGAGACAGGAAAATTTTTTTCTACTGCAAGGAAGAAGGTGAAAATTTTAAAGATACAATAATTTTTTATTGCATTTGTAATGATGAAAAATTTTGTTAAAACRTWAATACTTTAAACAGAACACRCTATTTTTAGTTTTTGTATCTAATAAATTCTTAAATTGCCTATCTAAAAAGCTAGAACATTTTCTTTTTGAATTGGGACAGGAAATTTTTTTTCTAGTTCAAGGAAGAAAGTAAAAATTTTAAGGGTATAACAGTTTTTTATTGCATTTGTAATAATGAAAAATGAAGATTTTTGTTAAAAAAAAAACATACTTTTAAACGTCTTAGATGCAAAATCAATAAATATGTAGTTCGATAAAAATTTTTAAGGTATTTCACTTCTTAATTCTTTCATCTTTACAAATGGAACACACAAAAAAAGGTAAATTAGCTAAATTACTACCTGAGTCTCTGTCACCAGCGATTGACTGAAGACTTTGGGCAGAAGTCTGCGAGTGTCCCATAGACGACAATGCCATGCTCCACCTGCGATTTGCCTCTTTGCTGTAGTACCGTTCCCAGGGGACTGGTCGCTCCTTCCCCGTCATTCGTGAAGATTTCGGTAATGTTTGGTAAGTCTCCCTAAGAAAACCAGTAATTTCGTGTAGTAGAATGCAGGCAATAAGCCGAAGAGCCATGGGACAACTTGAACCATACGTATTAATACTCGCTTCATCTAGAAAATCTTCCTCTTCATCTTGCATTAAAAGTTCCCTCTGTTTTTGTTCATCTAACACCATTGCTGCAACTTGTGGTTCCAATTGCTTATCCTCATTGATAATCTCTTCAAGACGTTGCCCTAGAACTTCAGCCCATTGGTAAAACATTTTTCCTGCTGCTTTTTGCATAATATGCGATCTCCTGATACCCGTGGTGGGACCACGAGGTGGCAGTGGACCAGAAGGACGAAACATTGGAAAGTTGAGTTTCATCCAAGATGGCCATTGGCCTTTATTGCAACAGTGGACGAAATAAGCGCATTCGAGGAACAAAGTTGCTCTTGCAACAACAGTAGAGTGAGGCTAAAACATCTCATTATTTTATCAATTCTGGAGCAAAGAAATCAATACCAAGTCTAACATTGAGGCAAGAAGATAAGCATCTGGTACTGATCCTGGAGGGCAAGTTTCAAGCAAAAAGGATAATCGTAAAGCTCCCTGATATACGGGCGCAGTTGCTACCAATTTTCGTTCTTTGAAAACAACAAATTCTGATTCCCGGGAAGATTCCCCCATTTCGACTGAGTTCCTACGACTGTGGTCTAAAAAAATCGAGTTTGATTTTTGAATCAAATTTTTGTTGCACTTACAGCCACCTGATGACTCTTCGGTACTACCATCTTTCTTCTTACCTTTTTTCAACACGTATTTGTTGAAACGGTCTTCGACGCGTCTTTTGGCTTTTTGGAGGGTTTGCCCAACATTGCTGCAAAAAAACCGTTAGAATTGCTTCAAAAATGAGAATCGCAACCTTTTTCCGCTTTTATTCGGGTAGTATTTCGATGGTTGGCGTATAAAGCTTGCAGTATCAGTTCCAGAATCGCCATTATCAAGGTTTTCGTTGTTGTCTAGAGATGTTTGATCACTTTTTTTGAACCAATTTACTAGAAAATTTTTATTAGAGTTGTGCACAATCAGAGCTGTTTTTGTACCAATTCCACCGAGTTTAGATTTGGATTTGGTCTTGGAGACTGGTTCTGAAATACCAAGAGCTTTCTCACTTTGACGTGGAGTTAGAATATGGCGTTTGCGGATGTTGCCTAAAGGACTTTGGCTAATTTTAGACAATTCTTCAGCTTCAGTTTCCAATAAACTCTACAAAGAATTAAATGAAGTTGTTTTAATTCGAGAGGAAGTTATACCGCGCAAGTTGAAGAAGTGCTTCGTTTTTTGAACAGAAGCTTTCGAACCCCTTTTTCATCAATATATGAGGTATCGGTTGGAATATCTGCTTGATCTTCCATTTCCGAGTAGTGCATATGCCTTGAAAGGTTTATTAAAAACAAGGAACGAAAAATTCAAAGTGGATACCGTATAACACGAGTTGTTTGCGTATTTGGTTCTTTTTTGCTTGGCCTATCTGCAGTATCAATGAGTGCACTCAAAGCAACTCTTCTGAAAACGCTACCATGTCCTTCTTTGACATAGGTCATAAGTTGCCGCACTTCACAGTATATTCCCTACAATCTTAACTAAAAACCAGAATTTTGATTGTAGAGTTTTTACCAAATTTTCAGGCGTTTTCAGTTCTTTCGCCGAACTAACAAACCTAGTGACCAATGGTTTGAAAACATGTGTCATGATTTGGCCTTCAACCCCTCGCATTCCTCCACCACCTACGCCTGTGTCAAAGTTCGTTCCATAACCACCTTGCGATACCGTGTCAGGCGACCTGCTAGAGCCCCGCTTCTGGTCTGAACGAAAATTGATAGCTTTGAAAGAGTGATCTGAACCTTTGCACACGCATTTTTGCGCCTATTTTACATTTTTACCAAAGGCAATGAGTGTACAAGCTGGTGTTGTCATTTTTCAAAGCTCTATTCTACTCTAGCCATAAAATCGGAAGCAAAAAGTTGGGAAAACGAGACCAGTCCTCGATGGAGCACAGCATAGCACAAACACTAGTCTTACAAGGTGAGTGAAGTTAAGTTAAAATCAGTGGCGGATTTACACACAGGAAAAATTAAGGTACACCCGGGGGAAAAACTTTTTCACCAGTCTAACTTTCTGCTCAAACTGCGCTTTGTTTCTTCAAAACGGTCTTTTTCTGAAAATTTCTTCAATGAGTATAGATTATTAAATGGTGAATAATTTGCAAAATGACACCAAGCAAATTTTAGAGAAAAAAATGCATGCCCATGTATTAATAGGTGTCCTGCAATTATGATTAATAAAACCTTATTTTGAACAATTATAATTAAAAGTTCACTTATCCCGAATTCAAAAAACCTAAACTTACCTTAACAAAAATTTTCTGACTTACTTTTAATTTTATTAACAAATAGTTTCTTCCGTTTTTTATATTTATTTTTATTACTTCTAAACAAAGCAAAAAACCCAAAGTGGTAAATTTAACGCCATAATAATAATAATAACTAATATTATCAGTATGTCTCCGGATTTTTTTATTTTACACTAACACTGCAAAAGAAAAACATTTTTTGCTTCACCTGAAACCAGTAAGTCTGTAATTTTAAAAGTTCATTATTTTCACTCAGTGGAAGAATATTTAATTTTTCTCTTGATTTTGAGCTTGTAATAACTAATAACACTATAGTGTACAAACAATAACAGTTTAATATACCTTTAATCGAATTATTATTTTTATGTTAACTTATCTTTAATTAAACAAAAATAATTGTTAAATTTTTCTATTACGTCTCACTTTTTTTGTTACAGACGATAATTTTCCTACTTTCTGCACAATGGCTGCGATTTAAAGTTTATTTAAATTCAAATTGTTGCTGAAGTATTGCAAAATTATTACAATGTGGGTCTAAATAGGTCTTAAAACCATTTTACTCGCATTTGGACTTCTTTTCCAAAAATTTAGGGAGCATGAGTGACAAACAAGACGAGCGTTTTCATCAAGATCTGAAGGGTTTTCAAAGATCGACACGAAGGTTTTTGGGATAAAAATATGTTAGTAGATTACTGTTGGATTCTTATAAAGAAAACTGATCCAAAAAGTATAATAATACCAAGTAAAATAACTTTTAATATGTTTTTTGTCGGTTTTTGTATTTTTGTTAATTATATATTTCTTAAACGTAACGTGGTGAACTTTTTTAAATAGTCTTTTTGAACTCAGTGCCTCAAAATCTATAAGAAGTTATAACTTTCGTCTAAGGTATAAAAATCGTGCAAAATAGTGTAATTTTTTCTCTACGTTTTAAATCCCATCACATTGTCGTTTTATTTTTTTGACAACGATGTCGTTTTGACAGATGAGTTAAATAACAAAAATGTTTGTAAAAAAACATAATTTTAATAAATGGCAAGTCAAAAAAACAGCTTCTAAAAAACAGTCATTTTTAACAAAAACAATCATTATTCAATTAACTAATTAATTGTCAAAGTGACATCGTTGTCAAAAAATAAAATCGCCAATGTGATGGGACTTGAATAGCAAAGAAAGATTATTATTACAAGTCCAAAAGTAAGAAAAAAATTAACTTTTCTTTACACTGAGCCAGAATAATGAAGTTTTAATTACAGATTTGCTCGTTTTAGATAAAGCAAAAACAACCCTTGCTGTTAAAGTGTTACTTTATCTATTCAAAAAAGTTTTTAAAGAAATAGTTTAACATCTGCTATAGAAAAAAAAAGTATTTCCTTTGCTTTTTTGGCGTAAAATCAAAGGTAAAAATTTGTTTCCTTTTGACTGGCTATTATAAAATCTATTATTAAGTTCAGAATTTTGATTATAAAGAAATAACTTGATAGAAATTGGTAAAATTCAGTTTATTAAAAAATTCTGGCATTTAAAACTAGTCCTACAATCTTGATGTTTGAAAGCTGTAGATAAAAAAACCCTAAAAGTCAAGTCAAGCTAAAAATGTTTTTCCTTTGCAGTTTTGGCAAAAAATCAAAAATAAATTTTTTTCCTTCTTTTAAACTCAATCCGGGAACATACTGTATACTTGCAAAATACCTTTCTTAAATAAATTTATGTATTTGTAATTAATAATTTGAGCAAGCTTGTTTATTATAATCACAATTTAATGTATACGTTATAATCTATGCTCATTGAAGTACATAATTTTGACAAAAAGACATTTTTCGGGTCCGGACCAACTTCCTAAATAAGGGTTTTTCGAGATATTACCAGCTCTTCAACTAGTTCAACTGGTGAATAGTTTTTTCCCTTTATTAAAAAGGCGAGTTTTTTGCATCCAGTGGTAAATCCGCCTCTGGAGAAGGGTGTTTTGTACCTTGTGATATTGAAAAAAGGAATAGTTGTGTCAAGTTTTTGAGGTAAGAGTAGATTTGTTACATTTAACGTCTTTGTGGCCTGTTGACTTACTCAATGGAGACAACAAAGAGCTTGGATCGATGCAATAGCCGACGTAAGAATGAAAGAAGTCTAAAATATCAGGAATTGTTTGATTTTTAACATAATCTCTTAAGAAAGTTTTAAATTGTTTTCCACTTGCTCGGTTCAGTTTAGCTAGAATGTTTTGGCATTGGGTTCTTAAAAATTCCGCTGCTGGTCCTCTTTGTCCATCAGCACACCCATGTGGACAACCCAAGTGTTTAAGAACCCTATTAAATAACGTTTCATTTATTATGTAAGAAATAACAGATATTACTTTATTATAACATTCATGATTATTCTATGGGCCGTCATTGGTTTCGTTGATTTTTCTACTTCTCCACCCAACGAGGCATATGTGGTACTTGGTGGTACTTTTTTTCCTGGACTGGTAGCTTGTCCAGAAGCACTCCCACTTATTTCATTTCTTAAACATTGTTTCAAAACTCCAATGTCCATCAAAAGTTCGATTAGATTTAATATAACTTCAAGAACTCGCAACGTGCAAGTCGAATTTTCACGCAGAGATGTTGCATGAACCGCCTTTTGATATAAATCACAATCAAAAAAAATCTTGTGTTTAATACTCACTTTGAGGACAACTTGGAAATCAATATCACCTTCTTTGGTGATGTAGCATGCAGAACCTGGAGCTTCTGGGATATCTTCACCAGCATAAGTGATATTGGAATCGGTTTGGGAACGCGTGAGACTTGCTTTTCTCTCAAACCAGTTCCCTAATTTACTCCCAGATAAACTAGCAGCGTCTAATTGACTATCCATGGATCCCTATTGATCCCCAAATTAGTCAAAATGAAATTTCATGGTCTCCCAAACCTGTCTTTTGAGGTAATCCGGTGATGGGGTTGGTGAGTGCTCTGTAACAGTTATAATGGGGTTTGCCATGGGTTGCGATGGGCGCTCAAAGCGACTCTGTCTTCGGCGGTCCCAGTGGATTTCACCAATGTACCTAAAGAAAAAATATCAGTTGATACTTAAAAATATAAAAAAGTAAATTAAAGCTTGCAAGCGTTAATCATAACGTAACTAGCTTCTAACTATAAGCCCCTCTAAAAGAGATGTTTTGACATTTATTAATAGTATATTGCATACTTGGTGGAAAGTGTTTCATTTCTATCGAGAGATTAGAAATTAAACTTGCCACCGAGGTTAGTATACAATTTTATTCACAACCACATCTTTAATTTTCGTGAAAAAAGTAAATTTGGCTTCTCGATCGAGTGACAGGAAAACGAGGTAGGTAATAGTAGGTCAGTAATAGGACACTTTCCAACCATAGTCAAGGTTAGAAATGTCAATATTACGAGCAAATATTCACCACTAAAATAATTCGTTATGACAATTTAAATGCCAAACAAATTCCGTATCCAAAATTTTTCTTGCATTTATCTTCTTCCCTATCAAAATAATTTGCATTGAATGTTGATAGTAAAAGTTTTTATGCACAAAAAAAATATCTGTGTGTACAAAAAACTACTCAAAGCAATATTTTTTT